ATTGAGTTATGGGACCTTTTGGCCTTTCTTGTTTGCGGACTTGGCCGTTTTTTTTACGCCATCTGGCAAACTTGGCTTGAATCTTTGGTACAATAGCGAGTGAACTGAACAGCCGAAACAAAGTTTAGAAAGAAGACGACATTCGACACCCACCGTAGCCGAGGCACCAGTTGGACTATTAGATCTGTAGGATAGCCATTCCTTGCAACTGCACTCTGAATAACTCAGGGCAGTAACACGCATGTTGGGATCACTAGTGAGCCTCGTTAATAGAGTCTTGCTTCAGTAACTTAGTTGAAGTTACTGCCAACACAAAGACCTTTTGTTACGAGATGAATTAGTAGCTTAGTTTCTTGAAAACTTCTACTATCAGCGACTCACTAAGCTTCTTCTAGGCACGTACTCCATAAGCTTTACCAGCACGTGACCTTCAAACGAAGCCTATCATGACTCCCACAAATAAAAAATATTCTTAAAATTTACCAATTTTTAAGCAGGCCCATACATACATTTTATATATAAATCACATCAGAAAAGAAACATATCCTTGACCCAGCTAGACACTCCATGACCCCAGAAACACGCCCACGACTTTTTTAGCGCATTTTCTCATTTATGGAAAAAAATGCACTATCGTGCTCGCCATGTCCGTCCGTCCGTCCGTGACTTCACGTTTTCGTCAATGAGAAAATGCGCTCTCTGTCACTCGCTGCAGTGAGTACTGAATTATATGTTTTGACCCGTAGTTTAGGGGCCAGGGGGGCACCTGCATATGGGCCAGGGGGGCACCTACATGGGGGCCAGGGGAGGGCAGGGGGGCAGGAGCCCCTCCACTTAGCAGGTAAGACGCGTCCCCTGCAGAGCAGTCGTCCACGGCCTTACCCCTGTAAGGGGAAAAATGCAGAAAGCAGTAAGACTTTTTACAGTCAACATGAATTACATTTCGGCGTGTAAATCACAATAATTGCGGCTAGGAAAACAAACATGTGGGTTATACCGTGAGGCTCAGTCATATATCATACATCATAGTGATGTCGACGCTGAAGAGTAGGCCTGATGTGGCCTGTCACCGATTCTTGTACTTTTCGTGCCTTGTTCAGAGGAGATCTAAAAACAGGTCCTTTGCCCGGATCTTTTCAAAACTGACGCTAGTTTGAAATAGCTATACTATATAGACTTCCACCGGGTTCGATATGGTGCCATGCATTTAAAGTCTGAACATATATTTCTCAACAGCTTCATCTAGTGATTCTAGTCTGTTCTTGAACGCGCTCATACTCGGAGCGTCAACGATGTACTCAGGAAGGCTGTTCCACATGCTTCTGAAGGACACGAGACTCAAGGAAGTATTTAAAGATCTGTGCTGATGGGTACCTACTTAGACCATCCCTGCAACAGGGACAAGAACAACTTGTTCAACACCATCAATATTCCTGTAGCGATGCAGAACGATCTAAAGCACGAAGAAATTGTGTGAGAAAATTTTCCCAATGTTTCCACAGTTGAAATTAAATTATTTAATTTTTACTGTACAGTACTGTCGCATCACTCAGAAAGAATAATATATTACAGTTAAAAACACACATATGTGTTAAGTTGCTACAATAAAAAAGGTGCTCGAGACCGCAAAATGCTGTGAATGTTCTGCGATGTTAAGAATCGGCGACAGGCCTACGGCCTACTAAACGCTGAAACCACTATTATTATTTATTATTAAGAAATGTAAATCGAAACTGCTATAAAATTTGAATTTAAATTATTAGCCAAGGTACATCGTTTCTAACAGAACACAGCGACCAGAGCAAGGTACTCTACTTCCATAGACAACAGTTGTTATGGACAACATACGGGACAAAGGAAGAGTATTTTCACTGTCCTCACTTGCGAAAGAGTTTGGCGCCGGCGACCAGCCCGCCTAGGGTCGCCGTGTTGCCGCTGACCAGGAGGTAGCTGCCCTCAGGAAGCGCCAGCACGTCCAGACTGTGGTCCTCCTCCAGGTACTCCAGCAGGCGCTGCTGTCGCGTTTCCTTATAGAGGGAGAGAGTCGTGTCAGTCGTGGAGACACCCAACAATTCTCCATTTTACATTCACTAGGTAATGTAGCCCAATGGTACAAGTGAACTTCAACACCTCCGATGAATTCTATCAGAATAAAACAGTATTTATCAAGAAACTTAAAAATTCAAGGCCTTTTACTGGTAAAAAATAAATGCAGGATGTTCTTATCTTAACTGTGCAGTGAGCAACAGATTAATATCCATTTGCTTACAATGTCATTACAGAAAGTAATATTTACCATATAAGGTCAACCTTGTGTGGCACATACAAGTAGGCGAGAAATATGATACATATTTCATAGCATATGTCTCATATATAGTACATATATGAAGAAGTGAAGTGTAGTACATATATGAAACAAAACTATATATTTTCATTTATAATATATGAAATGCTATGGTAAGAAGAATCTCGTTGCAAAGTTTAATGCGAGCAGTTCTTGTAACTACAAACTTTTCGCATCAAACCCACCACAAATCTCAATTGCTGACACGATGCAAGGAAAACTAGAATAAGCATTAAATTACGGGAAATTCAATTATATTATAAACTGCAACATATCAAATTTGGTTCAGTGGTACCAGTATGTGCGAGGCCAGTTTGCCCGATGACCTCCTACTTAACAACTCACGCCCATGTGACCTCCTACTTAATAACTCACGCCCATGTGACCTCCTACTTAATAACTCACGCCCATGTGACCTCCTACTTAATAACTCACGCCCATGTGAGTGGCAGGACCGGGCGCGGCCAGGTAGTGAGGGTTTATGTTAAAGGGCACGAGGTTGAGGGCATCGAAGCTCGGAGGGCACACGATGGGCATGTCATTGGTGGTGCAGATGTTGGGCGTGGCGACGTTGGTGCCAGCAGAGCTGCCGATGTAGGGCACTCCATCCTGTGAGGAACACATAGTTTATGTTTCTCGCTGCGGAGCTTGAGCAGAGCGAATATATACAGGAACATATATTATTATTAGCAGGGCTAGTATATATAGGAACATATATTTTATTACATGTATTATATATACAAAGGAACTAAACTAAAGGAATCGCTGGGTCAGGAAATTAAAGACTAATTAGAATTTACTGTAACATTTTCAAAGCCCATGAAATAGAATAACAATACGCCTACAGCACCTGCAAGACTCTGTGGCGAAGGGGCAGCAAGAGTCCGTTGCTTTGCAGTTTGTTGAGGAGTCTGAAGGTGTTACCCCCGCCCACGAAGACAGCCTCCGCTGCCTCCACCGCCTTCACAGGATCTGGTGACGCATGCACGCTCTCCAGGCTCATGCCTGTCAACAAGGTATTATATAAGTATCATTACTTTCATGTAAAGAACCACAATATTTGCAGATTATTTCTTCTATATTAAGCAATAATTGTGCAATTATTGCTACATCCAGCAACATTTGTGGAACAATAGCTGTGATGTCGAGCACCAATTGTTAAACCATTATTGCAATATCAAGCACCATATGTTAAATTATTTAAACACTTAATAAAATTGACTTCTAAGCCAGCACTACTACAATAATGTTAGGTTCTAAATTAATATTATTTAATTGAAATCAAAGTTGCCTTCAATGGTCCACATTTCATTTCATGCACTCATCAATTTCAATTAGGCAAAGTTTTGACCATGACTGAAGGAAGGGAAGAGTATGCAAAAATTAGTGTTAGTAACAGCTTTGACTGCTTGAAGATATAGGAAACTTGTCTATTTTATACACTTAAGGCATTACTTAAGTCAAGGATATACTTTACTCATACTAAATTATCATGAGAATTTTAGACAATACAATTTGACAGTGTACATGATATTATTTAAAATGGGCATGTATTAATTAATCTCAGCATAGATAAATATCTAAAATTTAGCACATTTAATCATATATTTCCGCCAAACCAAATAGTGAATAAATAGGACTCTATCAATCATAAACCTCAATTACCAAGACAAATCAAACTAATTACATAAATACATATAAAGCTAATTTAATTTCAAATGATCTTCTAATAACACAGCACACACTATTTCTAAGGAGCAAGCTGGAGAAACAAGAGACAAACAGAGAGCTAAGGAACAAGAGATAAACAGAGAGCTAAGGAACAAGTGACAAACAGAGAGCTAAGGAACAAGAGACAAACAGAGAGCTAAGGAACAAGAGACAAACAGAGAGCTATGGAACAAGAGACAAACATAGAGCTAAGGAACAAGAGACAAACAGAGAGCTAAGAAACAAGAGACAGAGAGCTAAGGAACAAGAGATAAACAGAGAGCTAGCTATGGAACAAGAGACAAACAGAGAGCTAAGGAACAAGAGACAAACCTGTCTCTTATACACATCTAGATGTGTATAAGAGACAGCCATGAGGGTGAGTGGTGGGAGATTCGAGCGTCAGCCATGAGGGTGAGTGGTGGGAGATTCGAGCGTCAGCCATGAGGGTAAGTGGTGGGAGAATCGAGCGTCAGCCTTGAAGCTGAGTGGCGGGAGACTCGAGTTCAGTCTTGAGAATGAGTCGTGTTATGTTACCTTTAGCTAAGAACCATGTATGCTTCGCTTTAGGTAAGTCATGAATGCTTCGCTTGCCTCGGAGTGACGACTGGCACCCTACGACATTTTTGCTATGATTCATTCATCGTGCATGATTACCCTTTCACATTGTCCGCTTTGACATTTGGATCTTGTTAATAAGAACGCCAGATTTACTGTGGTGCTTATTCTTAATAAGAACATTACTGAGGTAACAAGAACATTACGTATTCTTAACAGGGTGAATAAAATGAATAATACAAACAATTAGGTTGGTTAGGTTGAGTACAAGGTAATTAGGCTAGGTTGACTTTGTTTTTCAACCTAACCTATTTAGGTTAGGTTGACAAACAAGTTCATACGGTGGTGCTTATTCTTAACAAGATCCTGACATTTTTATGTCTAACAGGCACATGCTAGCGCACATCCTGAACATTGCCTACATCAGCTTCTGCGAACAGAAGTGTGGACAGCCTCATGGACTCGCAGAAATCTGGACACTCTCATGAACAAGCAGATGTGTGGACAGCCTCGGCTTGAGCGCTCACGGACTGCATGCGCGGACTGAAAAATGGATTCTGACTGCGGTTAGCCGGTCACAATACTGACTGACTGCGGTCACAATACTGACTGACTGCCGTCACAATACTGACTGACTAAGGAACAAGAGACAAACAGAGAGCTAAGGAACAAGATACAAACAGAGAGCTAAGGAACAAGAGACAAACAGAGAGCTAAGGAACAAGAGACAGACAGAGAGCTAAGGAACAAGAGACAGACAGAGAGCTAAGGAACAAGAGACAAGCAGAGAGCTAAGGAACAAGAGACAAACAAAGAGCTAAGGAGCAAGAGACAAACAGAGAGCTAAGGAACAAGATTAGAGATATCAGGAAAAATATGTGGAAAATGCTGTTTAACAATCATTTGTTCATCAGGAAAAAAAATCACAATTTACCCTTTTTCATAAGAGTCAGGAATGAAACAAGGTTGCTGTACGGGGAGAGAAACTGCTTTAGTTTCATATGTACAACATTCCTCCTACAAAAGTTCTAAAGAAATTAAGGCAGGTATTTTTGATGGGCAATCAGCAGGATATCTTAGAACAATCCTAAAGTTCTCTAATTCAACACAGGGAAAAACATGGAATTAATGTAGGGCAGTCATCTAGGAGTTTATAAACAGGAAGATACAAGATTTTAATAGGAAGAATTCCTAATAAACCTGGATTTTTCATGTATAAATATGAGCATTAAGACTCATTTCATCAATCTCAATATGTATTGATGCTTGCTTAGTTTAATAGAAGTAACAGATGAGCAGGACAGACATACAGAATAATCACACATACAAACAGCTGGTCGCTTCACTGAGACCATGTGTGCCCCAGGCATTTGCAATAGTACTTCAGTATGTATAAATTTATTCTATAGACATATGATGTACATTTGTATATTCATGATTATGTTTTCTTTTCATTTTCATAAAATAATTACTTTGACTCAATGTTGGTTTGACTGGCTGTAAAATGTTCATATATGATAATAATTTTGAATCCTTAGATCTGTTACTTAGTTTCGAGCCTAGAAGACTTGGTGAGCCCTCCCCATAAGTAACTTATAACAAAATATAGCTGTGAAATATAGTAATAGTTGCATCTCAGATGAGAATCCATTCTGTTCGAGTGAGAATTTTGATGCAGGATCTATCACTCTGAAGATGTGACAAAATTATTTGTTCAGCCCATTATAGTGATGGCCAGTGTTGAATTAGTGTTGATAGATATTTCATCAGTCAGCTCATAAAGTTTGGGTCTGCCAAACAAAGTTAGGGTCTACCCAACAATTCAGGGTCTACACAACAAAGTTAGGGTTTACCCAACAAAGTTAGGGTCTACCCAACAAAGTTTAGGTCTACACAACAAAGTTAGGGTTTACCCAACAAAGTTAGGGTCTACCCAACAAAGTTTAGGTCTACTCAACAAAGTTAGGGTCTACCCAACAAAGTTTAGGTCTACACAACAAAGTTAGGGTTTACCCAACAAAGTTAGGGTCTACCCAACAAAGTTTAGGTCTACTCAACAAAGTTAGGGTCTACCCAACAAAGTTTGGTTCTACCCAAGAAGGTTAGGGTCTACACAACAAAGTTTGGGTCTACCCTACAAAGTTGGGGTCTACCCAACAAAGTTTGGTTCAACCCAACAAAGTTAGGGGTCTACACAACAAAGTTAGGGTCTACGCAACAAAGTTAGGGTCTACCCAACAAAGTTTGCTTTTACCCAACAGAGTTAGGGTCTATGCAACAAAGTTTGGGTCTACCCAACAAAGTTTTTTTCTACCAAACCAAGTTAGGGTTTACCCAACAAAGTTTTGGTCTACACACCAAAGTTAGGGTCTACCAAACAAAGTTAGGGTCTACCCAACAAAGTTTGGTTCTACCCAACAAAGTTAGGGTCTACCCAACAAAGTTAGGGTCTACCCTACAAAGTTAGGGTCTATACAACCAAGTTAGGGTCTACCCAACCAAGTTAGGGTCTACCCAACAAATTTAGGTTCTACCCAACAAAGTTAGGGTTTACCCAACCAAGTTAGGGTCTACCCTACAAAGTTAGGGTCTACCCAACAAAGTTAGGGTTTACCCAACAAAGTTAGGGTCTACCCAACAAAGTTTTGGTCTACACAACAAAGTTTTGGTCTACACAACAAAGTTTGGTTCTACCCAACAAAGTTAGGGTCTACACAACAAAGTTAGGGTCTACCCTACAAAGTTAGGGTCTATACAACCAAGTTAGGGTCTATACAACCAAGTTAGAGTCTACCCAACCAAGTTAGGGTCTACCCAACAAAGTTAGGGTTTACCCAACAAAGTTAGGGTCTACCCAAAAAAGCTATGGTCTACCTAACAAAGCTAGGGTCTAGCCAACAAAGTTAGGGTCTATCCAACAAAGCTAGGGTCTACCCAACAAAGTTAAGGTCTACCCAACAAAGTTTAGGTCTACCCAACAAAGTTTAGGTCTACCCAACAATGTTTGGTTCTACCCAAACAAGTTAGGGTCTACCTAACAAGTTTGGTTCTACCCAACCATGTTAGGGTCTACCCAACAAAGTTATGGTCTACCCTACAAAGTTATGGTCTATACAACCAAGTTAGGGTCTACCCAACAAAGTTAGGGTGTACCCAACAAAGTGTAGGTCTACCCAACAAAGTTTAGGTCTACCCAACAAAGTTTAGGTCTACCCAACAATGTTTGGTTCTACCCAAACAAGTTTGGTTCTACCCAAACAAGTTAGGATCTATTCAACAAAGTTAGGGTCTACCCAACAAAGTTAGGGTCTACCCACCAAGTTTTTCAAATGCAGTTCTGACTATGCTGGTGTAGCCGTCCATGTCTGTGAGGGCATAGGGGATGAAGAGCACTTTCTTCACACCATGCCTGGCCAAACACAAAAAAAAACAGGAAGCAAAGATTAAATTGTAGAAATAATGGCCAGTTTTGGTCAATTTTGAACTATCACCAATCCAGTCCCTCATTATACTCATTTAAATAGAAGCAATAGGTACGCTCATGCATGAACAAGAGGAAAATGTTGCTTGTTCCTTTTACTATGCAAGAAGCTCACCAAAAATTTCACATACTTAGGAAAAATTGTATTTGTCTAACAAGGAAACTCTGATGAGAAATTATTGCTGGATTTAATAAAAACAATATCTTATTTTCTTCAGACGGTTTCAGGCTCTTCAAAATCCATTTGTCAACAAAGTTAAACTATATATATAATAGTATATATATATTTAATTGATTCCCCCTACTCCACTTAAATTTAGAAAGTAAGTACATCAATCAACTGCAAAGCCAATAGGTTCAAATCATTCCATGATTAAAGCTATGGCTTTAGAAAAAAATGTTGTCTTCTAGTATGACTCTGCATCAGCCCATAAAATAGAATAGACTGCAGACATAATACTGAGGCCATCATATGGATCCCAGAGGACTTGCAATTCTAAAAATTGCCTGAACTAAAGGTAAGGTCTCCTTCTGGGATAAGAATTGGCTTGCCCCAAGCTTCTTAATGTAATAATGTAATGAAACAAATTTCTCTGAATAACTTTAAAAGTCCCTAGTAGGATAATCAAAAGTAATTCAGTCACTCACCTTGCAAGAAAATCCTTGATTGTGCTTGAAGCCCATTCTAAATATCCAGAGCCATGAACTTGTGAATTTGACAGAAGCAGCAAATTTCTTGCACTCATGCTTAATATGATATTGACTGCTGTATATAATTGCTCACTGTTATGTTTCCAGAAAGCAGAGGGCCCAAACAAAAAAAAATGTAGTGAACAAAATCCTGCTTTGGCAAATAGTGAAATTGTTGAAACTACAGACCAAGAATCTCAATAAACTTGCTGTCTCAGTTTTTCATAAGGAAGTCCTAAGTCAAGTTTGGATCATGAAAAAGCTAGCAGCAATTTTGTGGGATGACAACATTTTCCACATCATCTCCATAAGTGGTGCTTGGCTAAGTGAATCTTTCAAAGTATGAACTTACTTGCCATGTTCAGGTTTGAAGTTTTTTGCCATAAATATACAACATGATTTTTTCAAATTTTGACTTTATATCTCATTTAGAAGTAATACATAATCTTCATAGAGAGGAGCATAAGTGACTTTATTTGGTTTTTAAATATTTAATTATGGCTCTCACATAGTTGCTCAAGTAATTATTTGTATTAATTGCTTATCTTGATTACATTTTACAACCAAGTTCAGTCTGGCTTGTAACTAAGTTGTTCTTCATTCATTTATTGGCTTTCCTCAAACCGCTGCATTTTTAGAAGGCTATAAGCACAATCTTCCATTCAATATTAAACCTTTCATTTCATGCTCTCGTATAAAATTGAATAAATAATTCCATTTATGAAATCATTTTTCTGATGCCCAATTAAATGTAATCATATTTATCATAGTTGGCGAGTAGAGCTAATCAGTGGTATACACTTAATTTGGGGAAACATTTAAATTTCTCAGTGGCTCACAAAAATGTAGAAGAATCAATAGAAGAGGTCTTGAAGTGAAAAATTATATCCTTATCCTACTTTTTGGGTCGTAACATCTTCCTAGTCATTGTCTTATAGCAAGAATATGTAACTTCAAAATTTCAATTCCTAAAAGACCCATGAGAACCTACAGAACAGCAGTCTTGACTCATGGATTAAGCCTGCTATATGGAGGTAGGCCCTTTCAGAGCATTATGTTAAAAAGCCACAAACATGGATGCTCTTGCATGAATAAACAAATGATTTGAATTCTGACTTTTGAATGTATGACATAACAACAATTTTAGAAGTTTGTCATGATCGCAACAGCAGGCCTTATTTGTCTAGATCAGTGGTTCCCAAACTTTTTCAGGCTGGCGCCCCCTTTGGCTCCCTAGTGAACTTCTATCGCCCCCCCCCCACAGACACATATAAAAACATACGCCTCTTTCTTGAAATTTAGTACGCTGCAATTTTAATAGATAAATGTTAAACACAAATGTGTATTTCACAAATAGAACCC